GCACTACTTTACTTCACTGTTAAGGACTGATTCTGCCACAAATATAATATGTTGATGCATCATCAGTACTTCAAGATTTAACTTAATTGATGATTTATTCACTTGACAAGAAAATTAAACAATGTATGATCACCAGAATCGCAAAGAAAATGCTTCTTATCCCAAGAAAAAATGTAAATATAATGCTCTTTAAAGCGGCAGTATAAATGAGCAGCAAAAAAAAAAAGCTTCAAGCAAAACTAGTAAACCAAAACACAAAATTCACAAAATAATTCATATAAACAAGCTTAAAACACTTAAAACATAAAGAAAGGATCGATCACTAATTATGTAAGACTGTCTTCTAGGACCTAAACATTCATTTGTATAAGTTAAAAAAATTGTGTACGTCATATAATTGCTAGAATTAAATATAATTCCCCAAAGTATGGTAAAAAGGTTCTTCATATAAAAAAACATCAAATAGGTACAATGAATATATAAAAAAGCAATTTACTAAAGCCCCCTTTCGCAAAATCTTAAATAGGAACAAGAATTTCATTGAATCATATCATCAAACATATAATTGGCATAAACACAAAATATACAATTTCAATAATTAACCTCACACACCTATATCAATGAAAGAAAATGATCAAGAATTCAACATGACAACATATATAATTTGCTTAAAATAGCAAAAGTCTACTAATCAAATAAAATAGTCAATAAAAATAATTATATCATTATTTAAATTGGGAAACAAGAAAAATAAAATCTTGAACTAATTACCAAAAAGGGACTGTCAAAGTCTTGAATTTAAAAACAAAAAAAAATCATTGCGACATCTCAACAAACATGTTATGAGCACAAATGTCAAATAGAGTACTTGAACAAAAATTCAATACTAACACTACATTCTCTTAGAACAATACAAAATGCTCAACTATTAAGCCTTATAGAATACATAATATACAAAAAATCAAAAGTTATAAATAATAATCTGTATAACCCTAAAATGCACATAGAAAAATCGAATTAGATTATTACCTCAATATTATGGGTTGTTGATCGGAGCTTCTTGTTTGAGAGGAGCACATCCACCGCCCCATCCTCATCAAGCATCTGCTAAATTCCTGATGCAACCACGACACTGGTGTTGGACTCGGACTCAAGGAGAATGAACGTAAGGGCTGTGAGGGAAAATGGACGTGAGGGAGGCGTTTGGTGGCTAAAACGGTTGACCCTTTGTGTTTGTGCAAGAAGAAACAAAGGAAGAAGCATGAGAAGGGGAATGGAAATTAAGAAGAATAAATGGAGATAGATCGCAAAAGAAAGAAAGAAAGAAAGAAAGAAAGAAAGAAAGAAAGAAAGAAAGAAAGAAAGAAAGAAAGAAAGAAAGAAAGAAAGAAAGAAAGAAAGAAAGAAAGAAAGAAAGAAAGAAAGAAAGAAAGAAAGAAAGAAAGAAAGAAAGAAAGAAAGAAAGAAAGAAAGAAAGAAAGAAAGAAAGAAAGAAAGAAAGAAAGAAAGAAAGAAAGAAAGAAATAAGGGTGAAGAGGGAGAGAGAAGTGATGGGTAAAAGAATGAGAAAGGGGTAATTTTTTTTTCATATATATAGTGGTATAGTGGTGTGTATTAAAGTCTGTACAAAGAGAAAAATTGTGCGTTGATTGTTCATTGTTCAAAAAAATTCTACGTACCCACTTTAGTACCCACTTTTGTACGCACCCCTATTTTGCTTGTGTACACAGGAAATTCATTAAGAAGGCGAGATTTATCTCCCACTTTTGTACCCACTTTTGTACAAATGTGTGTACAAAAGTGAGTTCAACAAGAAGGACTCGTTCATTGTTGTTCCCTATCATTTTACATACTCTGTATTGGTATTCATTTTTTATATCCAAATCCATCAAAATCTGCCTAAATCCAGGGGCAGATCCAGGATTTCATCTTGAGGTGGACTGAAACACTGAAATGATAATATACATTGAAAATTTTCAAAATAAGCAAGAAATCAAATATAAGTGTTCTCCACTAAATTTGTCCTCGACAAGACTTTGAAACAAAATAAAACTCGTCAAGAATAGAGTCTACATCTATACTATAGTAAGGTCTCTCCATTATAAAGTGTCATGCAATTTGCAAGAAAGTCAGCTGCCATTTTGTTGCAGAGTATTGTCTTTAGAAGTTTCATGGAAATACTGATCGTTATGCTGTTGCAGTAGCAACATATAAGTTCAATACAAGGTAAATCAATATGCTCCTCATACCATATGAATGAGATATTTTGCTCTTAGTCAACTACATACTCACATAATTCAACAAGTGTCAATACTTGAAACTTTGTATCAAGAATCACATCATGAACATAGTGTTGTAGCCCGAATTCTTAAGCAAAAATATCCTGATTACTAAAATCTTCGAGATAGAACTTCATTGCAAGAGTACAAACAACATCGGCATTGAATGACTCGTATGAAATTTTGGGGGTCCAATGAAGCACTAAAAGAAAGGAGTTCCACCGATTTATCATGAAATTGAGTCCAACTCCATCGATACAAAGTCTACCTCGTTGAAAGCATCAAACTGATAATGATGCTCAACTATAATTTGATTGACGGGCCTAAACAGCTACACAGAGTCACAAACACATGTTGAAGCTTGGGTCCCAGAGTGGTCGGCAGCGATTGAATGACTTTGTCAAGTTCGGCTAATGTGGATCACTGCCTTATGAAAATCGTGATGTCGTCAACGAAGGGTCAAAGGGCGAAGACTTGCCCGCTTCATCCCAGACGCATGACTATTGGTCTATTACTTTTTTTTTTCATTTTTATTGAATTTGGGACAGTGAACTACCTATTTAAAAGTACTACTAATTTTTTGGGGCTCTCTATCTTTTGAGACTCTGTGCCATTGCACTGGTTGCCCCTCCCCTGGGCCGGGGTCATGTTGTGATGCGTATAACATTTAGATTAGATTTTTTATTATTTTAGATGGTAAGATTTTGTTTTATGGACTGACCGCGTTGAAAAATTGGTTTGGGCTATAGAAAAATTTGGGGTGGGCTGGATGGAAATTTTTAAAAATAATACCTTAAAAAAACCTTTTTTAGTTTTATCCTGTGTTTCAGCCCACCATAGCCGTAACATAGATCCTCCCCTGCCTAAATAAAAAATATTGAAATCCATCGAATTGTTTGTGATCATAGAATTCTTTCCAAGGAATCTTTCACAGTGTAGTTCAAGCACACCTGGATTGTCCTGGAATTCTAAATTCCTTTAAAATCTAAGTTGGGGACACCCTTCTAAATACATATTTTTATTTCGAATGTTGCATTGTATAATGATCAAAACAAATAAGGTTAAAATCAGTTTTCTGGTTGAATCGACTGAAATTACTGTAAAAGTCTATTTTAACTATATACTCCCTCCGTCCCTCAATGTTTGTCCTAGTTTGACTTCACAAATATTAAGAAATGAATTTGACTTTACACTGTAGCTACATTGTTTGACATTATTTTACACTGTTTGTCATTGTTTGATAAACATTTGTTTGCCAAATAATGAAGTTAAAAGAGTAGGACAAATATTTTAGGACTTCCATTTCGGGAAAGTAGGACAAACATTGAGGGACGGAGGGAGTATATTTTATTTTATTAATGAAATACTTCAGATTCATTAAAAGTCTGTTTTAGCTATAAGTTTAAAATCAGTTTTCTGATAGTATATTTTAAATTTTTGCATAATTTAACGGATTCATTCAATTCAGTCACATCAACCATAACTTCATCAATTTCAATAGAATCAATCCATTTGATTCTATTAAGTTTATAGAATCAAATAGTGGATAATAAATGTGTCACTCCCATAGTCTCGTACGGAAGGTCTCACATTCAAAATTGTATTCAATTTCACAACTTCGTCAATTTTTTGCATATTAAGTTTTAGCCGAAGTGTTTGAATTCGATGAATCTGTTTAATTAATATTGAAAAATACAAATTTATGCATAATTTATTTTGAGAAGAAAATTACTACGTATTAGAGTATCTACAACAATTAACTAATTACCCTTATAATTTGACTTGTCATGGCAAGCAAATGAAGCAATTGGAGCAAAATTATTTTTTAAATAAAATGCCCTAAGACCATTTGTAGTGGTTGAAGATTAGGAGTCAAAAGATTAAAAATGGAACTTTTAGACTCTTAAATGGATGTAATGGTGGATTAGAAGTGGGAGTAAAAGTGGGAAGGGGAGTGGAGGAGTCTAAAAGTAGAAGGTTGGATTGACAGGGAAAAAGGAAGAAGAAGAAGAAGTGGCTGCTTCCGCGGGTTGTTCATGTACTCTGCTGATGTCACGATGATGTCATTAAATCCCCAATTAATTTTAAACTCTTATAACTTTTTTATTTGTTCTCCAAATTTTTCACAAAATATATCAAAATTCATGAATTTTTATGATCTTTCATATGACACCAATATGTAATAATATAAAATGAATTTTTTTTTTGAAGTATTAACTGTTCAAGTTTTCTTGAACCCAAAAAAATACGAAATACAACTTTTTAATTCATTGAGCTTTCACAAATACTAACTGAATATTCCATAATCAAATTTTATTTGAACTAAGTTCATTTTTTGTTAACCAAAAGCCGTTTAAAAAAATATTGATTTTTCTTTTCTTTTTTTTTACTTTGAAATGTGTATTTTTTATTTCATTAGTATCCAGGGAAAAATTCAAAACGAAAATATTAATCATAATAATTTAATTAATGTTTTACTAAATTGATATGTAAAAAATAAGCAGAGTGTACTTTATTGACGGTGCACGGATGCGGGGAAAACCGGTATTGACGGAGTCTAAACACTGTTTTTATATGGACGGAGTCCAAATTAAACAATTTGGACTCTTGACCACTGCAAATGGTCTAACAAGTAACAAGTCCACCGTAAAGATTGAACAGATTTTGACAAGTCAACTAATCGGAAGTAGATCCTTCAAAAAAAAACTAATCGGAAGTACCGAAGTAGACGTAAATAAAGGATTTGGACGGTTTAAAAATAAAAAATTTATTGCCACTGTCACCGGCTCACCGCAGCTCCTCCTCCTGTTTGTTGCCACATTCTTCTTCCACTATCTTCCCCTTAATTTATACACATTAGATACGCAGTATACATGCCATTATGTGAGGGAATCAGGAAGAAATTTAGAGAGAAGTGGAAATGGGTTGCGCCAATCTGTTCTTCACTGTGGTGATACTCCTCTCAGCAACCCTCATCACCTACAACATCCTCATCTCACTCAATGCTTCTGTTAACCAAGATTTCCCTACCCCTTCAAAATTGAGAAGAAATTTCCTCAACTCTAAGGACCCAGTCATCAAAATGCCAGTGGAGAAGGAACCCAAGAAGAGGTTGTTCCACACAGCAGTCACTGCTTCTGACTCAATCTACAACACCTGGCAGTGCAGGGTCATGTATTACTGGTTCAAGAAGTTCAAGGATGGGCCTAATTCTGAGATGGGTGGTTTTACAAGGATCTTGCACTCTGGAAAACCTGATAGGTTCATGGATGAGATCCCCACTTTTGTTGCCCAACCCCTTCCATCTGGTATGGATCAGGTATTTCACCCCCACCCCCTCTCTTTTCCTGCTGAAACTGAAAAAATCAAGACTCTTTTTCGTTTCCAATTTAATCGTTCAATTTTAGAATACACTGATAATATAGCTGGAGTTTAGTGGTGCATGAATGAATATATGGTTTAGTTTATCCATTTTAAGTACTTTTCCTTGAATGGTACTCCCTCCAACCCGAAAAATAAGCCATAGTTTATCGTTTCTCACAGTTGTGCCATACTAAAATTAAAGGGCTGTACTTTGATGAAACCAGGCTCTTGTTATGGGATGGAAGGAGTGTATTAGAGATTTAGAATTGAGTATTGATGCTTCTGCTTTAGAATGTCATTTTCAGAATTTAGAGTAGGGAACATATAGTTAAAAATAATCTGAGACAAATGCATTGCAAATATACTGTTTTTGTAGGATTGAGTATGCCCTATTTTGGGGGGGAAATTATGGTCCTATTCCTAAAATGTATTATGTTTTAGTTCTATTAATGGAATTCTTCTTGCAAATATATGTTCTACATAAGGATGAAATAGTGATTAGTTTCCATTTTTCCTTTATATCAGTGCAAAAGCACCGATATAAAGCAATTGAGAACTATAGAATGGGACGGAGGTGGTGAAAAGTTCAAGTCAGTATAAACACTATGTCCTGATCATTCATTTATTACTATAAACCATATATAGCCCTCTTAGTTTTAAAAAAAATGCACTGCCCTTCCCCTCCCCGCCTGATAAACCTCCCAAACAATGCCTTGTGGTTAGGGGGTCATGGTGTCATATAGAACATAAGATTGGGACTAAGGTACTAAAAAGGGTCTTTGGTATCATCTCACTATCATGGAAGTTGCATGACATTCAGTACACAAGAAGTTGCATGTATTGCAGCTTCATACTCCTCATCTTTGTTGCCCCTGTAGTTTTTCATAGATATTAATAAGAACTAGTAGGGGTGATGAATGAAAAAAGGACAACCCGGTGTATGAAGGTATTCCCGCAAGGTGAGTATCCAGGGAAGGGTCACACCACAAGGATGTATAAGGAGCAAGTTTTCCCATGTCAAATTTTGACAACAGGCCGCTCCAACGATTTAAAGTTGTAACCTCTTGATCACACAACAACACTTTAACCATTGTGCCAAGCCTTCCCTTCGGTTAGGGTGATGAATAGTGTATAAAAAGTATCAAAAAATAACAATATCCAAGGCTTGGTCCCAAATGAGTTTGGGGTCGGCTAACACAAATCAACATTTGAAATCGTAGCTAAAAAATGCAAAGAGATCACTCCTCCACATGTATATTTTCCCAAGACTCTGCTCTCTCTAAAGTCATACTCTCATCATATCCAAGTATCATACCATTCTTGACCACTCTAATTCATGTATGTATGGATCTTCATCTCCTCCTTTTCTATTCTCCCCACCTCTCAACTCATTTAATAGGTGTATCACTCAGTCTTGTATGCATGTGTTGATAAGGTCTCACACCAACAAACTGTCACAACACACTCCAACGTAATATTATTGTCTTTATTGATAAAACTCAAGAACAGAGTCTGGGAACAAAAACGATAAAGGAACGAAAAAGCAGAAAGTAAAAATGAGATCTTTCGAGAGGGTCTCTCTCCCAGTTCCGATCAACTTCCCAGTGCCCTTCTCTTTCCGCTTCCGTTTTCTTTTATTCGTTTCTTCCCCACCTGCGGACTATTCCCCTTCCTCTAGTCCGTTATTTTCTGCCGGGTGTCTAAGCATCATCGCCGGGACGAAAGTGTGAACTACTAATACGTAATATACTAGAATTATTAGTTTATTACACTTACACTATAATATTAAGATACTAGTGTAGTATGAGTATATGACTATATGTCTATATGAGTCTAAAATATTGGATGAAGAGGACTGCGTGAAAAAGAACACATGCCTTATTTAGTGCTGTGAAGAAACTGAAGTTGCTTGAGATGATGAAGAAACCGAGGAGAGTGAGTAGACTGAAGAGCTATGCTTGGTGACTTAAGTTTTACGCATAGTGAAAAGTGAGAAAACTTTGTTGTTTTACGGTGGGTTTTACATTTTTACGTACAACTTAGCTCGCTTTAGCGCTTCATGCACTTCTGCGCTTAAGCTGCGCCAACCCATTTACGTGCGCCTTCCCTTCTCTTAAGGGCTGGAGGCCCTACTCGTTGCGCCTGGAGCGCTTAAGCGAGGCGCACACTTTTGACTACCTTGCACATACCTCTATCACATAGAAATATTGACACACTCTTCCATTTCATCCAGCCTAATCTAATTTTATGGGATACATCTTCATCTAGTTTACTGTCCTTTTGAATTATGAAGTCTATGTAACGAAACATATCAGTGTCTCTGTTGAGAGCAGAAATAAAATAATCAACAATTAGCAACAGTTGCCCAAGCTTAAAGCTAAAACTCCAATATTATTAATTGATGATTCCAACAGCCCTCCGTAGGGGTTTAAATAACCCTCTAAGTCTTGATAAGAATCGGAATCCTAATTAAACCATACTAGGAAACTAAATAGAATAGGAAACCTCTAATTCTAATAAGAATAGAAGTCCTAATTAAACCATTCTAGGAAACTAAATAGAAATAGGAAACCTCTAATTCTAATAAAAATAGAAGTCCTAATTAAATCATACTAGGAAACAAAATAAATTAGGAAACAAAATAAAAGGAATAATTAAAATTAATTAAATGGCCCGCAGCCAGCCCACGAAGGTGGGCTCAAGCCCATCCCTGCCCCCTGCTCTCCTTGCTTTCTATCAGTCTCCTGACCATTTAAGGTATTCCCATTATTGCCATTACTTTTACCTCCACTAAACTTGCACTTTATATACTCAGTCTTGTTTCGACTTAGCTTGGAACCTTTGTTCTCCAGAGTTTGTCGTCATACTTTCAACTTCGCTTCAACACTTGATCTTGTCTCATCCATCAACACAATATCGTCAGTAAACATTATGCACCACGATATGAAAAAATAGAAAGTAGGAAAGAGAAGGGAAAGGGTAGAACAAATAGGAAAGAAAATATGGAAAAGTAAGGTAGAAGATGCCCAAATAATATGGGACAAATAATAAAGAACTCCTAGAAAAGAAATAAGAGATGAATAATAAACAGAGGGAGTATTATTTACAATAGAGCTACATGACATCCCTCGAACTTTTTTAAGTGCTGACTGTGATGCTAAGTATTATTTTTGGTATCATGCATTTCAGGGTTATGTAGTCCTTAACAGACCTTGGGCATTTGTACAATGGCTTCAACAAGCAAGTATCGAAGAAGAGTATGAACTATAACTATGTATATCCATTGAAGCTTCATCTTAAATGCATTATAATTCTTGGTAGAGATTGACATTGAGTCTCTTGCCTTCCCTTTTTCTTTAATGCAGTTACATACTAATGGCAGAGCCAGATCATGTCATTGTCAAACCCATCCCTAACTTATCTAGAAGTGGTCTTGGAGCTGCATATCCTTTCTTTTACATTGAGCCAAAAAAGTTTGAATCGACTCTTCAGAAGTTCTTCCCCGAGGAGAAGGGCTCGATAGATGACATTGATCCAATTGGAAACTCCCCTGTCATTGTTGAGAAGGTACACACATAAATCCATAACTACTCCATCAGTTTTTTTTGTCATAATAGTTTTTCCTTTTTTTCTCTTTAAAGTACAGGCCTTATTGCCTATATGTGTTTGTCAGGTGCTTTTGGAAAAGATAGCTCCGACATGGATGAACGTTTCGTTGGCAATGAAGAAGGACCCTGAAGCTGATAAAGCTTTTGGTTGGGTACTTGAGATGTAATCCACTACTTACCAACCTGCAGAAATGATTTCATTCCATCTTGCAGTCGTGTACAAAACTACAATGGGAAGAAAGTTGGTGTATTTATCCTTTCATATCGTGTATCTTCTTTATATACAGGTATGCATATGCTGTTTCATCTGCATTGCATAATGTGGGCAACATCTTATACAAAGAATTCATGATTCAGGTATCACTCTTTCCACTCTTCTTTTATCCTTGCACCGATGTGTAAGACATCTTATATCATCATGCATTTGTTTTGCTTATCATTATTATAATATATTTATTTGGGATAAGTACAAAAAAAGGTACTTGTGGTTGTGTGCGTTTTCAAATAGAGGCCTAAGAATCATTTTTTTACAAAGTGGGGCATGTGTTTTCAATTTGGGGTTCTCCGTTTAAACACTGTACAAAAAAATGACATGTCACCCTTTTTTACGGAGTTTAGACGGAGGCCCCATGGGTGCTAATGGATTTAAAATGACATGTCACCTTCCTAGGGTATGTGTCCATATGAAAAATTGCACATCCCAGATTATTTATTGTGCCATGAGAGTGAGCCTTTCTTAATAATTTTCTGTAGTATTATATTAAAAATTCCTTTTATCGTTTTATCTTTTTATCATTTTTATCTTTATCTTGTCTCTATCTCTATCTTATCTTTTTTTATCTTATCTTTTCTTTTCTTTTTTAGCTCTGGTTTCATATGTCGATTCATGTTAACCAATCTCAAACTCTTTTCGGACTAAGGCTTGGATGTTATTTTTATATTATATAAAAATTTCAAAGAAACTTCATTATCAACATGTTCGCAAAATGTCTGGCGGAAATGAGAAGTTGGAAATGTTGATGTGGGCATGTGAAAAATTGGGAAGAACATAATCGGGAACAGAACGAGAGAACCGTAGGAGATGTTTGACCATATTTGGAGACGCTGGGTGGATGCACCTGTGAGAAGGTGTGAGGGTAGAGAAGTGCAATTTAAGAGGGGTAGAGGAAGATTTAACCAGAGAGAAAAGATGAGATTTCTTAAGTATCGGGCAGCAAAGTTTGTTAATTTGTACTATAGAAAACATCTTATATTTTTGAGAATTCATGACCTAAATCCACTTTTTTTACCATACCAGCCTCCTTTTGATACACAAATTGGCAAGGCATACATAATTCATTTCACTTATGGATGTGACTATGATATGGAGGTATCCCTTCAAACTCCGCATTTCTATATATATATGATGAATATTCCAACTTCAATGATAGAATTTGACAATGAGAGCATGTGTATCAGGGGAAGTTGACCTACGGAAAAATTGGAGAATGGAGATTTGACAAAAGAGCATATGGTAATATATGGCCTCCAAGAAACCTCACACTTCCACCACCTGGTGTCCCTGAGAGTGTGGTATGATCTTATGACCTCATAATTCTTTCTTCTAGTGTTGCATGTTGTTGGAAGCCATTCTAGTTAAGATTATCACGACTAGGGTTAATAAGACATTGGGTTGAACTAGTTAACAGATTGGATTCAATCTTCTAGACGTGTAGTTAAGCCCAATTCTTTATGACCCATTGGAGTGATTCAGTTCAATCCTAAATTCTGTTATGGCAGCAGAACGGTGCTGGTTCACTTCCGACAGCCCACACAAAAAGGCCCATAGTCCATTCATAAGTCTCTGTAGTGCAGTTTGAGGTCCAACTACCCCAATCCGACCAGACAAATAATATCGGTCGGCATTATCAGTGTAGCCGCTTTATTCGAGCTTCAGTATCACAGTGGTTCAAACTAAAAGTAAACAATGGTTCGAATATTCGATCAAATTCTCAATTGTCCATTTAAATGGCAGTGTTAAGAGTTTAACATCTCTACAGCCTAGAAATGTTGAATACTGATTCATCCTTTTTTTTGCTTGCCTGGAAACTTTTTAACCAGTGTATCGCAACATTAGTGGCTCTATAATTATTGTTCAGAAAAAGAAAATTATCATAACTTACGTATAAATCTTGACATACACATCAAAAGAAAGGGTACCCATTATCTTGAATACCGAATGACAGGCCTTGACACCCTCTGATTCGACAATGGCTGAACTACTCCACCTGAATTTTCTAAAAGACTACTTTAATTGATTACGAAAGGGGTTTCATTTTAATTAGTCGAAGGGTTTTTATTTGAACAATAATCACAAAAAGTAAACAGATAATATACATATTAATGTTATCCTTATTCCTTGTCCGTTCCAATATTTTATCTTATCTCTATCAAACCCTGTCTGGTCTATGTTATCTTGTCATAAGCACAAGCATATGACTTTTTTTAATCTTTAACTTCTTGCATCTCCAAATGATCTCACGCTAGTAATGATGAACATCACAGGTTACACTGGTGAAGATGGTAAATGAAGCCTCTGCTAATATTCCAAACTGGGGTTCATAAAGGTGTATTACGTCAAAGCTGCACTCTGCTATCAGAAGGGACGAAGGGCTATAGTCTTATACAGGTGTGTGCTTCAAGAGTGCAGTCTCGGAAACAAAACTCATTCTCGACACCATCTGAGGGGACTAGAAAACCTTACAGCATCCAATACTAAGTAGATCTTCAATCTTGTCCCTGTTGTAGTATTATACGATGCAGATGCACAGAACTTTCATTAGTTGCCATATTGTGTATCCGCCTGCTCAAACATTCTCAAATAAACATAATAATGAATCAAATATTGTATTGGCATACCTTTGGATATCCTTATAACCACTGTTCTAAAAATCGGCCTAAGCGGATCGATTAATCGGCCTAGGCGGCCCCAACTGTAGAGGCCTTGTTGGTCTAGTCGGTCAAAAAATCGGCCTAGTTGGCCACAAAATTAGCCTAGTCGGTCGCCTAGGCGCTAGGCGTCCCTCAACCGCCCGACTAGCGTCTAGCGAGTTTTAGAACAATGCCTCTGTGTAGTGTGAGTCTATGTTAGGTTTAGTGTTTTGTTCACTTTGTTGCAGTTAAGCGATGACTATCAATCACAAACCACCTATGGTCATACGGTCATACCTCATGCCGGCATGGAAATGAAATGAAATGAATGACATTTATGCAATTAACACTAGAACGTGATGAGAATGGTGAATCGTGAACAGAGGCGTACCCAGGAAATTCATCTTGGGAGGACGGTAATTTAAACAAAATACTTTTTGCCCCTTTTTGGGAGGATGAAAATTGTTTTTTTGTATATATATACATTAAAAAAAATTGTTGGGGGCGGTAGCCCCCGAGTCTCTACTACGGTCCGCCCTTGATCGTGAAAGCTATATAGTAGAGAGGGAGTGCAATGTGGTGATGATAAGCTGCATGAACCAATGAAAATGGCTTGAAAAGATAGGCTTGAAGAACTCAACTACGAAGAAGTATGAAGATACTGAGGCCTTAAACGACGCAGAAAATGATTACACCAATAGTTCTGAAATTAGTTTTACCTAGGAAGAAGTGACTGTTAACTTGTTAAGATAAGGAATAAAAGGAAGGGGAATGTGTTATAAAGAGTGGACCGATTTGGAAGTTTTTAGGTACAACATTACAATATATCTTTTGGATTGAAATTAAAAAAAAAGTTTTACCATGGATAATGATGTGTTCCAGATGTATGAAAAAAACTCAAAATTTAATTATAGTTGAGTTACTTGAATATAAGGAACAATATATCATGTTAAATTGATAAGTTGCTAACATTTTTGGACCAAGCCTTGAAAACGTCAACATTAAGCATTTAAGCGTTAATGAGACATTTCAAATATATAGACATTTCAATTTTCAAAACGTGTGTTTTGGCAAGTTATAGGCTGTTAAAGATGAGAATAATGATATCATCCGATAGCATGGGCTATGGTTGAGAACTTGACAACGAAAATATGAATTCTTCTAGGCATAACCAGAAACAAATACTACGTATAAAAGAAAAGGTTAATGAATCAATTTAGAGAAGTATACTTTTTTAATATAGCTAAAAGAATATCTTAGAAAAGAGATGAGATAGGTGGAGTAATTGATTGTTCCTTCTTATGATTGAATTATCGTGTAAAAGTTTTAAGATTAAAAACAATATTCAGTGAGGAAATGCCGTTTTTATTATTTTGCTAATTCAGAGAGGCATAACCACTACTAATTTAAGATAGTGGTGTTGGTAATATTTGTGTGGCTGAAATGGATTCTTAATTTATTTTCACCTTATTAACTTATTATCAACCATATAATTCCACTTTTTTAGTGAGTGGGATAGAAAGGAAAAATGAGGCAATTATAATAGGTCAAAGAGAGTATAAGATGATTTCATATTTACTTATTACTCTAATTATTTGCTTCATTGTTGAGGAAATGCCGTTTTTATTATTTTGCTAATTCAGAGAGGCATAACCACTACTAATTTAAGATAGTGGTGTTGGTAATATTTGTGTGGCTGAAATGGATTCTTAATTTATTTTCACCTTATTAACTTATTATCAACCATATAATTCCACTTTTTTAGTGAGTGGGATAGAAAGGAAAAATGAGGCAATTATAATAGGTCAAAGAGAGTATAAGATGATTTCATATTTACTTATTACTCTAATTATTTGCTTCAATGTTGGGAAAGGTATTGGTGCGTTCCTTATCTGGCACTAATTTATTGGTTGTGTTCTCCATGTCATACATTTCCTTGAGTATTTCTAAGTTGGTCCTTGTACATAAGTCAATTTTATGGGACGAGATTCATTATCATTTAAATGGAAGAGTATTTTTCACTTAAACCATCTAGCTAGAAATATATATTTATATTCCGGACCCCTATTCTCTCATTGGACTATGCTGCTTTTAGAAGGTCGGCACAAATGAGAGTGTGGTGATTGTAGAGCTGCTGATACTTGAGGACGGAATTGGCTTGGAAGAGTTCGCAATAGCTTAGTTTCTTGCTTCTTTGATTGATTTTTATGTGACTTTTACTTGAGTCTCTCTTTAGATATATAGATATGATGTAAATCACTTTTCAACATTGAATATATGATGATTGTGATTTCAATATTTCAATCGTTTTGGGAGTTATTGGCCATATTGTGAAGCACTGAAGCTTTCCAAAATGTGTAACCTTGGATACTTTTCATTGTGCAATTTTCATCCATTTAAGAAGCTTGGAGCTTGGAGGTGAGATTCACTAGATAAATTAGAAGCTTCCTAAGCTTTTTCCAGTGGTTCACTTTTATTTTTCGCTTAACTAAGCTAGCAGGCAATTCAATCTCTTAATGTCCATAACATGTAGCCAAGTGGGTGTGTAGGTGGAAATGAAAAGGAGGGTAAATCATTATGGCTCGACCTATCTACAGATAATTATAATAAACAAAGAAACATATAAATATGGTAGATGAAAGCATGGTTAGTCAAAAGCACCGAGCAGGTAAACCGGCAAAACAATGCGATGACTTAAGTTGCGAAGTCTTATTCTTCTCCCTGTCGTTGTTTATGTCTTGGATTGGAACAAATTACTAGAGAAACGTACATGAACAAAGCTGATAGAATGTTATCGATTTTCATGTTCTGAAATCCCTCCATTTTACATGCTCATAGAGATTTGTCATTATTTTTAAGAGTATACAATGTAGTTAGCCTAGATCATAGCAGAAGGTCTAACAATTGTTAGTAGTTAGCCCATTAACAAAATAAAATGATTGAAACTATCAAAGAGACATACTTGCTGGAGCCAATGACCTCATGCTACCTCCAAATAGCTGTACTCGTAAGAAATCCATTGTTGTTCTTTTTGAGCTCTCAAACAAAAACATCCAAACTCCAAAGAGACCTTAAAGTGTACTTCGAAAATCAATATGACATCTAGAGCCAGTAATGATATATATAAACACGTCCAAGCTAAAGTGAACTCCGTTACGTACTTAACAACATCCATCAAGTTCAAATTAAATCTTTTCCATATCGCAGACAGTGTGCGTTCACTTAGGCCTTGTGCTATATTACTTAGGTTAAGAAGTTTCTGGCTGGATTAAAACATATTCATACCACAAATAGAGTTCATTAAGAATATTCTTATCATCAACAATGTAATATCATCTACTTCTACAAACAATGACTTGTTTAACAGCACACATTTTTACTGGAAAAGATCTTATCTCAAGGGGTTTTCACTATGATCAAAAAAATTCTTTGGGGGATAGAGTTCTTGGGCTTATTTAAGAAGCACTGGAATGGAGCTTTTTGAAAAGAAAAAGGAACTTCTTTAGTGCTCAAATGAGAAAACACTTCTTATGAAACGACTTGTAGTCACACACAACTCACAAGTCATCCCAGAAAAGCTCCAAGGCACCATTAGAAAGCAATAGGCGAGGATACTGAGAGCTTGAGAAGCAAGCAGGTCTGTAAAAATGTAATCCTTATCAAAAAGTGAAATGACTTAAGCTGCAAAAATTTGCATATCCTTGGTCACACATGAAACTTTATATTAATGAAAGAATTTTATATGGACTGAATGTTGAAGAAATGATGAAATTTTAAGGAGATAAAGAGAAGCTTGTTGAGCGAAGTTGGGATTTTGGTTGGGCAACTGACAAGCTAAAGCCCACGGATGAGGTTTGCAGACGTGAAGGAGGATGAGAACGAGAGAGAAAACTGATTTAGAACAGATTCACAAATACCAGAACCAGTATGCATCACTTGCAATTTACGAATTTTATAAACGAATAATTGACATGGAATAGGTATCAAATCAGATTTAGGCACATGGTGAATGCACCCAAACATTCTGTAACGGGAGAGTGACCCAAAATCATTTGACTCTAGTCTGGATATTCTTGTCCTAAATCCTTGTACTCCGAGTCTCCGACACTGATCTTGTATAATTTAAAAATGAAAACTAATAACAAATTGAAAGAAAACGTCTATCAGAGCAAGTCCACGATCATTACAAACATTCAATAGGTGAAGGCCGTGAAGTTAATAATCTAATCCACAAATATATTTGCGAGCCCGTTTAGAATTATACTCAACTGAATATATTCCCAAATGATCAAGCCAGAGAGTATTCGATCAGAAGGAACAAGAGAGATCAGGAGGAACAAGAGACCGGGAAAGCATCTGAGTTCTATTAAATGCATCAATAGCGTATTTTTCAAAGCCAATACAAAACTCCCAAGAAAAAAATGAGGAAACATAAGGCAAGGTTAGGAAAATATAAATCTTCCAAAGTTTGCTGAAACTTAACAGGAAGCAAAAATCATGAGTCCCAAAATTTAAATTTAAATGCATTTTTATAATTTAGAGTACAAAATGTAGGATAAAGACCAATCGAATAAGAACTCAACAGGAAGCAACATAGTCTAATATCATTCCTTGATTTTTTTTTGTCTAATATCATTCCTTGAAAACTTTAAAAAGTTAACAGGAAACTACACTTCACAGTCCAGTGAATGCTTTCTTTCCACCACTAGCAGAACCAGCAGGAATCACCTTCAAAACATTGAACCTAACGGTCTTGGATAATGGTCTGTCACATGAACAACAGTTGGCATGTTTGACGAAGTAAAATAGATTATTAGTTTGAGGAAATTGAATAAATAACAAGGTTTTAATAGCCACCTGCATTGACCAATGGTAACATAGTCACCCTCTTTCACACGGAAGCATGGTGACACGTGAGCAGCAATGTTTGAGTGTCTTTTTTCATACCTGAAAATAAAAGAGAAATTAGATTTGACAAATTGTTTCACAAATAAAAAAACAACAGATGCT